GTTTTGATTAGTTTGCCCGTTTCTCGTTGCTGGCCATTTTTTCTGGAGTGTGACACAAATGGTGAACATGATACTGTCAAATCAATAAAGAAACCAGGATACGGCTTGGATACGCTGAAACTTTGTAAATCGTCCTCTTTTCAATTGTAAACTTTATTCCAGTGTAATAAAGGTATATACCTACATGTACCATGAAAAATTGTATCGCATCACTTTGGAAATTTACGCTAAATACATGTACTAAATAAATACTAAACAAGCGCACATATAGTATTCATTTACAGCATCGGATTTTAAAACAATGACTCGTGGAATCACAAAGAAACTGTTAAGTACGTATTTCACACATTACCGAGGACCGCAGTAGAGACCTCTAATTATAAGCAGTCCGCGGCTCTCCCCGGCGTTCTGCGGTACACCGCAGTAATGACCGCGGTGCACCACCCGTTTGATTTCCTACTCTTCCCTTACACTCTGTTCATTTCAATTTTCTGATTGGCATAATTAGTTTTCAGCTTTTCCATCAATATCTCAAGTACAAGTAATTTTGAATTAATTTTTACTGTGTCTCTAATACTCTCAGCACATGGGAGTTCTTTCTAAGCTTTCTGATCTAAATTAGTTTTGGCGATGTTAAAAGATGCCTTGTGGGCATAAACTTTATTATTAGCAAAGTTGCATTATGATCCTTTGATGTGGACATTTTTTAGTCCTCGTTCAGACTCAGTCTGAAAACGGGGACTTATGTTTTGACCTCCGTGTGTCCGTGCGTGCGTCTAGATCTGTATCTTAGAAATGCCTGGACCAATCACAATCAAACTTCACACATACATCATACATGATATTATACATATGCACGTCAATTTGTTCCACGATCTGATTCAAGATGGCTGAATGGCGGCCATTTTTGTGCTAAAAATCATCAAAATCAAGCATTTCTCAGCTGTTTACAGATGGATTTTGTTCAAACCTTGTATATACGTTGGACATTATAGGAACTTGATGCACATCATTTTGTTTTACGATCTGATTCAAGATGGCCGAATGGAGGCCATTTTTGTGCTAAATAATCCTAAAAATCAAGCATTTCTCGGCTGTTTACAGATGGATTTTGTTCAAACTTGGTATATACATTAGACATTATGGGACCTTGATGCTAATAATTTTGTTTTTCAGATAAGATTCAAAATGGCTGACTGGTGGCCATTTTGTTTTAATGAATGTGGTTTTCGTGCCATATCTCTGACATGCTTTCACTGATTATGTTCAAATATTAAATATTCATTATACATCATGTCATAGATAGACAGATATATTGGTTTGACGATCCTATTCAAAATGGCCAAATGGTGGCCATTTTTGTGCTAAAAAAATCATCAAATATCAAGCATTTATGGATGGATTTCATTCAAACTTGGTACATATATTAGACATTACAGGTTCCTGATGCACATCATTTATTTTTCAGATTGGATTCAAAATGGCTGTCTGGCGGCCATTTTGTTTTAATGAATGGGCTTCTAGACCTACATGTATATCTCCGACTTGTTTTGACTGATTATGTTCAAATTTTATATATTCGTTATACATCATGTTATATATATACACATGTATTCAAAATGGTTGATTTTGAATGCTATTCCAGAGCAATATCTCTCAATACGAACAAGTACTTGTTTGACGATCAGATACAAATGTCAATCATTTTAATGTTAAAAAATCATATTTCTGACATGGTTATATTCCAGCTATATTACTATAAACAAAACTATATTTCTTAAATTTGATAACTAACTGGGACTGTGCCATGCATGGCTTGTTAAATAAAAGATTTGTTGAAAGAGTTTCAATAACTTGCATGATGATGTTAAACAGATGAAATGTATTTTGCCTATTCGCACAAAAATAGTAGTACCAGTTTTTGTACTCTTGTTTTTTTTTCCTCGCCATGATAACATCACAAGTAATTGTGTTTTGACAGAAATGCTTCTTTCTGACAACAACAAATCCTTAAAATTCAACCAGTTCACGGTAGGTTTCTAGGGTGGATTTGTTCATTTTAGGAAAATATCATTATTTTCAGCAAATATTTTTGTTATTTTTAGTAAAAAATTATATTGTCAACTTATTTTCTTGGAAAGTACCGTACTATCCTGATGGCATAATTCAGATGGGGGTCTGCATGTGACTTCATAGATATAATATTGTCATAGAACAGTTAGATTTGAAATCTCCAGACTGATTTAGATTTTTCTTTCATAACAGAAAGCCAAAATTGAAACCTGGCAAACCCACTTGTATGAAATGTCATGTTAAAATGTGCAGCAACAAATTATTTCCTAGACATACATGCCTGAAAGGAGTATTGTTGACATTTGTATATTATATATATGATTGATCTAATATGTTTTAAATGATGTATGACTCAAAAATCAATATGCACTTTGTAAACTGTGTTAGTTGTTACTGTCTTATAGATTCTTTAATTACATTAATTAATTTCCTGGTATATCAATGAAATGGACAAGTATTTTTTATACATGTGGGTTGTCATTACATGACACACAGGTTAATTAATTGTATTTGCTCTGTAAGAAACACATGTACGGTAAATCAACAAGATTTATTGTATACTGGATTATTTATATATAACTTATTATGAAAACATACACAACTTTGTCATTTGTGTAAGTGCATGTGTAATAATAGACCATTATAATTATTATTGTTTACCTAGCCTTGGTGAGACTGCTTATAATCTAGACATGGCTACCGATGTTAGAATGAAGTTATTGAAGATGTATGAAATTATGGATATTATAAGGTAATGCTGCAATCCTGGACTACAATGCATTCTTTGAGTACATTTTGGTGCTATATTACTCTTGTTTTTATTGTATTTTTCTATAATTTTAGACCAAATGAACATAAGTATCTATTTGCTGCAGGTGATAAAAATATGATTTTGGTAAATTCTTTTGTTAAAACCTAAACCTTGTGAATTTTAAATTGAATTATTCATGGGAGAGAATGTAGCTATACTTGTATACCATATACTATAGAGTGATGCATCAAGGTTTCAATACAATGAAAAGAAATGACTCATTTTCCTCCATGCATCACCACTATACAAGTAAGTATACTGATTGGTCTATTGGCATTGACGGTGACAGTTTTATGCACTCCTTCAATTATCGTAATTCTATCATCATGGTATTTTGGAGCAATAAACCTGGAAAAGTAGTAAATGATGAAGATGCTGATGACGAAGTAGCGTGTTGTGATCTCTTTCCATTGGAATTTGAACAACGAAGTCACATGTTTTTGTCAGTTAAACTATGTGGTGATATAAGATGACAAAATCTATTTGTTTAAATTTGTTGTTTGATTGATGGATCTACCTCTTTGGCATGCCCAATCAAATCATTCATTTTAACTGAGGTCAGCTTTATTAACCATGCAAATTGCATGATTGAACTGCCTGCCTTTTTTACTGATAAATAGACTCATGTAATCATAATTATTATTTCAAGTACACAACCTTTCCAAATAACTGTAGTAAATGCACTTGAGTCAACATCAAAAATAATTGATAGCGACTATCCTTGGAGGCTTTCAGATGGCGATGACGCGAATTTTCATTCTCTCTTTTAAAGTATCCATCATCAAATGTCACTAATTCTGACTTTTATTTCACCAGCAAAAAAATTCTTGTGCTGGGGATGTCTGGAGAGAATCGAGCAACGCAAACTGAGCAGCGACTTCAACGAATGATTCGGCAGTATGTTACGTCTTATTTACAAGATAACATGGTAACCCTGCAGGCACTTCCATCTCGAGATCAGTATGAGAGACTTAAACTGGAAAGAGAGGCAGCCATTGCAAGGAGATTAGAAAAGCAAAAACAGGCAGCCATAGAAGCGCAAAGACAAGAAGATGAAAGAAGGGAAAATGAGAAAAGAAAACAGGAACGGTTTTCATTCATGACTCATCAATTGAGCACTAGCCCAAGTCATTCTAGAGACGGTGTTAGCACTGAGAGATCTGTTGCTAAGGAAAGCGTTGGCAAGGAAGGATGGGAACCTACACAGTTACCTGTGGCAGCATCGGCTTCCGATCCAATGCTGCTTCAAATGGACATTATTAGAAACTACATACAACAGGCCAGGAATGCACAGAAATTGGATGAGGTTAAAATGCTAGAGAGTAACTTGCATGAGCTGCAGTCAGAATATTGGAAACAGAAGCAAAGTAATGTGCAAAATAAGATAAATCAACTGTGATATTTTGTGACTGAAGTGTTATTTTTACAAAAAATCTGGGAAACTTGTTTCGTTAAAAATTAAAATTACCAAATAGAAAGTGACAAACTATCTGATTTTTAAGCTGTTTGATTTTTAAACCATTGTGTGTTTCAGATTTATACTAGCATTTATATGGTTTTAATGTCTGTCTGTCTGTCTGTCTGTCTGTCTGTCTGTCTGTCTGTCTGTCTGTCAATTTCTCCACATTGTCTGTTATGACTCTCCTTTCAAAGATTGGAAATTAACACTTATTTGCATATGCCCACTATTCCATATATGTGACTGAGGTGTTCAAATTGGAAATGTTTTTGATCAAATATACCTTTGCTATAAAGTGATCACAATATTCAGTAATGATCACATCTTAATACTTCATGTAATTCTTAGCTAGAAATATGACCTAATTTTGATACAACAGTATATAACAGATTCTAAATTAACTGGATACGCTCACACCAAAATTTCTGTGTAGTTTAATTGAGGGTGGTTAATTGATTAGTCATGGTGGTTTTAGTTTTAGGTGTGTAGTTATGCATGAAACCATCTTCTTTCTTAATTGTTTCTGTAATTAAACTTAATCATGAAATTTCACATATTTCTTGAACTTAATAGTTACCTGTTAATGTTGTTTAATAAATGATGTTACATGGATAGATAAATTAATAATAATAATAACTTTATTACGCCTTATTGTGAAATTACATCTCAATTTTAGCTAATTGTAATAAAAAGAAAAAGAAGTAACTAAATCACATAAAAAAGACACAATTACTACTAGGTACATTACTAATAGTGCTTAAGAGGAGAAAATTTACATTGTGCTTGGAAGTTAGCATGTAAAGTATAAGATGATTTAAGATAGGTAATAACATGTTTAATGAGTTTTATTTCTGATGTATTCATGATATACTTAAATTTTTCAATATTACTGGCAGACTGGAAATCTGGAAATTGTTCAGTGAAGACCATATATAGTTTCTCACGATCTGTTTTATAGATTTTACAGGATGTAATGAAATGTATTTCATCTCCAAGTATGTTACACATCCTGCAAACTCTGTTGTCAACTGGTGTTTTTGGTCTCTTGTAACGTCCTAGCTCTATTTCTAATTCGTGGTTGCTAAGTCTCAGTTTAGACATAAACTTAATTTCCTCTCTCTTATTCAACATGTATAAATAAGGTGATGTGCTAATGTCATCTTTTAATAAAGAATATGTTCTCATTTTTGAATCTGGTCTTTTGATGTCCTGAAGCCATGAATTTATATAATGATCTTTGGCCAACTGATAAAAAGTTTGTTTTTGTACAGACTGAATGTTAATTTTGTAAATTTTACTAATCTTAATTAGACTAATGTATGAAATAACCAATATGAAATCAATTCAATTTATGTATAAACCATGTTGCCATGCAGTTTAACAATTTTAATTGCAGATTATTGTACCAGCCTGTTTTATTTATTGTATTTAATGAAACTTGATGAATGTTACCAAATCAAAAACATGATTTACTCAGTTCAAATTAAAATGATGACTACTGTGGAATACTTTATTTTCGCTGGAATTTATTTCCGCTGAAAAGGCTTTTTGGGCGTTTTGCTTGGAATTTATTTTCACTGATTTTTGATGAGATTAATGTAAAATATAGGAAAAAATGTATATTCACCGGATTTTATTTTCACGGAATCATCCCTTCAGCGAAAATAGCGAAAATAAATTCCAAGCGAAAATAAAGTATTCTACAGTACATTATTTTTTGTTGGGTTTTTTGACTCCGGTACTTTGCATTAACTGCAAACAGTTGTCATTGAAGCTCAATATTGAAAATTAGTGCAGTTATAGGATGACAGTACATCCAGTAAGTACCAGGATATGTGACCTTTAGAAGCGCAGTACATCTAGTGAGTACCAGGATGTGTGACCTTTAGGATTGCTGTACATCTAGTGAGTACCAGGATGTGTGACATTTAGGATTGCTGTACATCCAGTAAGTACCAGGATGTGTGACATTTAGGATTGCTGTACATCCAGTAAGTACCAGGATGTGTGACCTTTAGGAGCGTAGTACATCTAGTGAGTACCAGGATGTGTGACCTTTAGGATTGCTGTACATCCAGTAAGTACCAGGATGTGTGACCTTTAGGATTGCTGTATATCCAGTAAGTACCAGGATGTGTGACCTTTAGGAGAGCTGTTATAGGATGACAATACATCCAGTGAGTACCAGGATGTGTGAACTTTAGGATTGCTGTACATCCAGTAAGTACTAGGATGTGTGACCTTTAGGATTGCTGTATATCCAGTAAGTACCAGGATGTGTGACCTTTAGGATTGCTGTATATCCAGTAAGTACCAGGATGTGTGACCTTTAGGAGTGGTGTTATAGGATGACAGTACATCCAGTAAGTACCAGGATGTGTGACCTTTAGGAGTGGTTTTATAGGATGACAGTACATCCAGTAAGTACCAGGATGTGTGACCTTTAGGATTGCTGTACATCCAGTAAGTACCAGGATGTGTGACCTTTAGGAGTGGTGTTATAGGATGACAGTACATCCAGAAAGTAACAGGATGTCTTGCCTTTAAAGGGGCTATGCTTTAAGACCTCTTGACCTTATTCAAACAGTTTGAGTCATTCCTATAAACTGCGCTTGTGATAGTAATGTATTTGTAACTAACATTTTTTAAGTTATTGCATGAATATTGTCTGAAATAAAGAATTTTTTTTGATAAATATACATTTCAAAGTCATCAATGTAGGATAAGAAAGTATACTGTAAAATTAGCTATTTTGTACAAAATCATTGTGAGTAACCATATAAAAAAAATGTGAAATTTTTAGCTCCGCTGTCGACTTTGTCGAGCGGAGCTTATCATATGAGTGATTGTCCGG